AGTTGATTCTCCTTGCGTACACTCTGAACATACATTTTCAACATGTGTGCGCTCTTCCATCCATGTGCCCTGGTCACATGTGTTCCCTATGCATATGCCTCTCCATGTATGTTCTCCATATTTGTTTACTCTTTCCACTGCTGGCATGTGTAATTGTGAAAGAATTCATATCCCAGTATGAGTAAAATGTTTTAGTCATGTTTCTTACTATATCATTAAATGCCACTGCTTTGAACTAATTGTATTCATCGATGAAGGCAAACATATTGGGGGCAGGGGGAGAGGGCATTGTGAGCAGTGGTTTTGAATGATGCAGTGGTAGACAGTACCTTGAACCTGGTGTCTCTGTCTGAAGGACAAGTTTAGAGCTGCTACAAAGGAACTGCCTGCATCCTCAATCAGTCAGGTACCAAATAGTACTTGAGACAGAGCAAATATTTAATAAATATTCTTGGACTGACAAGCATTCATTATGCATTTGTTTTATTCCTAGTACTAAGTAAGGCTGGAGATACAAAGAAAAAACATAAATAGTTTCTACCCTCAAGAAGATAATGTTAAATAGGGGATACCACATGAACCATAAATAGGTTTCTATTATATATATGCAGAATAGATGTTTTTGGAACATCCAGTTCAAAATGTCCACTACATAGTTGGTGATGATTCAGGATTAAAGCTCAGGAGAAATAGAAGGCCTGAATATAAACATCTATGAGTCATCTACAAAGAGATAGTCATTGAAATTCATGGCAGCTGATGAGGTTTCCAAGTGAAAGAATATAGAGAGGGAAAGAGAAGATGGCACAAGGCAGACCCTTAAGGGATATTGATGTTTTGTAGTTGTGAAATGGATGAAGAAACAACAAAGGAGACAGAGAAGAATGTTCATACAGATGATGGAAGGAGACCAAAGGAGAGCAGTGTCACAAAAATAGAGTATCATTTGAATTTTGACCTGCAGAGAGGTCAGGAAGGAGGAGGACTGAGAAAAGGCTATTAGATTCAGCAATGAGGAGGCAGTTTCCATTGAAGGATGAGTTGTTAGACAAATTGCAGAGGGCTTAGAAGAGAATGAAAGGAGAGGAAGTAGAGGTATCTGATACAGAAAGCTTTCTCCAGCAGTTTAGCTTTAAATGGAAGAGAGATATGGGATGTTTGATAGCTAGTGAGGATCTAGTAAAGGATATTTTTAAAGGGTAGAGAAGACATGGTAATGTGTAAAAATCAAGGCAGGAATCAGTAGCTTGAAGATTAAAAGGAGAGGGAAAATGATAGTGTAGAAAATCTTTTGGAGAAGACAGGAAGAGTTGGTATCAAGGTTATGGGTAGAGGGACTGGCCTTGGCAATGAGAAGGTTCATCAGAGACTGGAATAAAAGAAGAGAAAAAGGAGGATGATGTTAGGAGAATGTGAGATGAAGAGAAGGGGAAGTTCAGTATAAATGGTCTCAATTTCCCACCCTTCTCTGGGATTAGAGTGCAACAGCAGGTTATGAGAATGAAATAGATTGAGGAGATGGAAAATCAGGGTATCTGAAGGAACATCAACATGTATGTTGAAATTCATTGATATGAAGGAAGAAGTTGAGTCAGGGAGGAAGTCTGTACTAATTGAGAAGACAGGGAGTATATCCTGGAGGCTAATAGGGTCTGGACTAGCAGGAGTGTCAAAGGAACAGTGGTTGCTGGTGGTAATGGGCAGCTATGACTATTCTGATGCCCTTATAAGGGAGTTTGGGAATTTTGGGTGGGGTGGTCTGAGAGAAAGAGCAACTCCTGCTGGAAAGAATGCCCAGAGATGCAGTGTCATTTGTATGGAGCTAGCTAGGTCTCATGGAGTGCCAAAAGAAGAAAAGCTCCAGAGAAGAAGAGAAATAAAATTGAAAGTATTTTAATTATAGAGTGGTAATTCCAGAGGGCGCAGTAGAAGGGTCAGGCAAATCTGGAGTGAGACTTTTGAAGTGGATGGGAAGAAACTAGTAAAAAGCTGAGAACATGGATAGAGATTTGTTCTTTGTCAGTTGGAAGTTCAGTATCACTGAGATGGGGAGACTAAGAGCGAGTTGGAATATGCTTACTCTTATGAAATTGAAATATCTAAGTAGAGTATCATTGGATGGGAGAAGGTCCACTGACAAAAGAAAGTGATCAGAAGGCTTGAGTTCTTCCCCAGGCCCTGCAGGTGTGGTTATCATCCTCAAGTGCCCATTTTCTTGACAGGAAGTGTTTCTGTGCTCTGGATGCAGCTTAGAAAATCAACCTGCAGGAGCTGCTGATAGTGTTGTGTCTTTGGGAACTCTTGAACCCTACATAGGAGACAGAGGTAAAAATACATGTGTCCCTGGATGCCCAGAAACCTGGCTAGGAGGCAGGAAATGTGTGCCTGAAGGATCTGGAAGCCCAGGAATGAGCAGGGTCTGGTGGTGTGTCCTTGGGGTTTTGAGAAGACTAGTTGCATGGCAAACATAAGTAGACTGCAGCCCAATAGCAAAGATGATTTTCACAGAAGAGATTATAAGCAGAAATTCCAAATATTGATCATACTGTCAATGAGAGTTTTACTATATTTTGCTCTTGTCAGAACAAATCTTAGTCTTATGTTCAGCACATTTTAGGAAAGACAAGAACCAAACCTAAGTGCTTCTAAAAGACAGCAATCAGGATAGTGAGAGGACTTGAAAACATGTCACTTGAAAACTGGATGAAGAAAATGAGGTTAAACCTGGGTCAAAGATGGCTTAGAAGGAACATGAGAGTTATTTTCATATATCTAAAATACTGTCTTGTGAAATAGGGATTAGTCTTGTTCAACTTGCCCCAACATGGCAGAAATAGGAATAAACTTCAGAGTGAGAGCGTAGGCTTGATGTAAGAAGAAAAGTTCCTAGCAATTAGAGGGGTCCAAACACAGAACGGGCTACTTTGGAAAGCAGCAGATTTCCCCTTCACTGGAAGTCTTAAAGGTGTGAACAATCACTTGTTGGGGATGTTGTAGAAAAGCCTTTTAGTCAGGTATGGGACACAATAGATAAGTGGCTTCTGAGATTGTTTGCTACTGAGGTTATTAGATTCTGTGAGTAAAATATATCATTAAGGGTATACATCTATCTATCTATCTATCCATATGGATGTAGAGATAGATATGAATGAATATGTATCCATCAAGTGTCCTTCACAAAGACTGGCTGTATAACCTACAGGCATTTATTTCTGAATTAGGAAATAGAAGAGGGAAAATCTTTATTTCAATTAATAATTGGTTATTAATATAAGGGAAAATAATTTCTATCACCACTATTGTGTATTTCTACACAACTATTGATTTTTTGTTTGTTTGTTTTTTTAAGTGAGGCAATTGGGGTTAAGTGACTTGCCTAGAGTCACACAGCTAGAAAGTGTTACGTGCGTGTTATGTGTCTGAGGTTGGATTTGAACTCAGGTACTGGGACTTCAGGGCCGGTGCTCTATTCACTGCGCCACCTAGCTGCCCCCACAACTATTGATTTTTAAAAATATTATTTAAACACTTTTGTTCCTTTGATATCATGGCAAAGGAGTACAATTACTTCAAAGAAATAGTAACTTACATTTCTATAGCATTTGAGCTTTATAAAGCACTTTCCTCACAACAATCTGTGAGATTGGTAAGGTCTATAGATGAAGAAATTAAGACACAGAAAGTGGTGAAGTGACTTGTAGTTAAGTACTTCCATGTTCAGGGTTCTTTGCTACTATACCACTTTGTCTCTCTTTCTATCTTGTACTAGGAACTTTAGATTGTCACTGAGCTAGCAAGCATTTATTAAGTGCTTACTATGTGTAAATCATTATACTCAGCACTGAGAATACATAAAAAGGCAAAAATAGTCCTTTCCCTCAAATGGTAAATAGAAAATGCCTTTCAAAGAACCAGATGATAAACAAGAATTTACAACTGAGGAACCTGCTACTTTAAAAAGTGTTTTAAGCATGGTACAAACAGATCCCTTTGCAGAAGTTATTGCAGAAAATATCTTATGGAAGGGAACAGAGAAGCCAGGAATAATACGTTGGTCTCTTTGCTGCCACCTATTGTCTTACAAGGAATGTTGCTCATATGTAGTATTTTCCCTTTTGAAAACTCATTGTTTTTTTTTATCAGAATGTTTATTTAAAAATTAAAATCAATTAATTTTCACCATGAAGTTTCTAATAGAAATATTGTTTTGTATCTACGAAAGAAATGACCAAGATTTCTAATACTATATACAAATATGCAAAGACTTAAGAGTTTCTCCTAGCAGGGATATAAATTAATTGGGATGTGGTCTATTCCAATGCACCCAAAATGCAACAAGACAAATTTATATTACGATGGAGCCTATAGACAAAGAGAGGGGCAGTGTAAAACACCCTATTCTTTCTCTGGGTTTGCCATACTCACTTCAACTTGCTTTCACACTGGCAGGCCTAGGTTCCCAGAAATATTCCATTACCACAAGGTTACATTCAAGCTCTCTCCAAATCCTATGAGGAACCCCATTGAAATGGAATACACTTCCCTTACTTACCATAATAGCAACTGAGTACTCATCCAGGATGTTTTCTATCTCCACAACTAGCTAGTCATCCTAATAGTACTTTTAAATATTAAATATAACAATAATAAATAAATATTATTAATATTATTGTTTAAACTTTTAAATTAAATACATATATAATAATGTAATTAAATAAGTATGTAATAATATGTAAATACACATATAAACTTAGAGCACACTCCTTCATCAATTAGCTCAGTAGTTAAAGGGAAGAGTGGTGGACTTAGAGAAACCTGACAGAGAATTACATGAGAACAACTTATGTGTTTAAGGTAACTCAGTTCTATACCTGTTATTATTGTTCAGTCATTTATGACTCTTCTTGACCTCATTTGGGGTTTTCTTGGCACAGAGACTAGAGTGATTTGTCATTTCCTTTTCTGTTCATTTTTACAGATGAGGAAACTGAGGCAAACAGGGTTAACTGACTTTGCCCAGAGTGACATAGCTGGTAAGTGTCTGAGGCCAGATTTGAACTCATGAAGATGAATCTCCCTTCTTCCAGGTCCATTACTCTCTCCACTGTGCCTTCTGCCTATCCTAACTCTATACTGCAAATTTCAATTTACTAATCCATTCAGGAATATCTGTACCACCCCAAATTGCTTCTTTGCTAACATCTTGACTTTTCATATTTATCACTCTTTAGATGGTGAAATCTACTTCTCTTCTCTACTGAACATATAGTCTTTATATGCTCTTTCAGTTAAACATAACTCTTAAAAGCATGTTTAGAAAATGTTTGCTCTTAATGTAAATAGCAGTTAGTTCTCTTTAAGCCAGAGAACTGCAAAGCTTATCAAACTGGCTCCTCTTACGCTATAAGGATCTGGTTGTTCATTCCCTCAGATGCCACATTGTCCAAGCAGAAAGAAGCTCACAGAAGCACAACTCCTCCCACCAGCCTTACTGTGGCTTACTGCTTTTCCTTTTCAAGCCAGAGGTGGTGGAAGAGAATAAGTCTTTATCACTTTTCAAGTCTACATGGTGCTGAAGGGCCATAGCTGTCACTGGAAGACTTGGCCAATGAAATCAGGTCACTCTGGCCAATCAATAATCACTCAGCTGAAGCCTGCTCTCAACTGACAATGTTCTAACTGAGCGACTCCTTCAGTCCCAGCTGCTGCATCTTCAGTTCTTCTGAGATTCTGCTTCTTCCTTTGCCCCTCCCCCACCATACCTATTGCTTTGTTGTCCAATGATCCAATCAGTAAGAGCCTTCTGATTCTCAATGACTCCCCTTTTATTTGAAAAGTCACAACTCTCCAAAGTTCTCTTATAAAATTTCTAATCTTTTAAAAATCATACCTCATTCTCTAAATAGGCTTATGATTTTCCATTTTCTTAGTTTTCCTTTCTTTAGTCATAACAATACATAATTGGTGGAAGTGCCCATCTCAGCTCTGGACTTCTGATGTCTCCCAATAGGTCCTTCATCTCTTTGATGTCCTTTATGCTATTTCTTTGCAATCACATTTTCTGGTTTTTAGTAAATAAAAAATCTTTTCTTACCTTTGTATGACATTTAACTGTCTCTGCACACTGAAAGCATTACTGCACATTGTTAACAAAGCTATCCAAATCTTCAAATCTATGCCACGGATCATTTTTTTTCCTTCTGTAACAGTCCAAATCCTGTCTGAAATATATTTTTTCATACATCTGTTTTAGTGTATATAAAAACAAAGTTCTTTTTCTATTGAGGTTAGATATAAAAAATGTTCATGCATACAGTGCAACATCATACATCATTTGACATTCAATATTAATATCTTCCTTTAAGCAAAAAAATTTTCTTTCTATTTTAGCATAAACTGCTCCTTATAAACAGGACTTTAAAGAGACATTGTACTTTCTGAATTTATAAAGGTTGAAAAAAAAGATTTCTGCTTCTGGCCCAAGCTCAAAAAGGAAATTTGAAAAAAATAAAGCAAAATTAAAATTGACTAAATTAATGACAACATTCTCATCACCAGAAGTAATATGAGAAAAATGGCCAAGAAATTAAGCTATTAGAAACCTTTCTAAATTGTATAGCAAACTGAATTACTTACTTTCTCAAAATATTTTAAAAAATACACTCAGCCACTGAGCTTTACTCACTCTACTTTGTATACCTCAGTAATCTCCCAATATCATATACCTACCTTCATTTTTCCTCTAACTTTTTACCACTCTCAACTCATATTTTGTCTCTCAACAGACAGAAAAAAAAAAAACAAGGAAAAACAAACTTCAGCTTTGCCTTAACTTGGTGAAGAGGTTTTTCAGGACACCAACGTTTCATGTTTGTGTTCGAATGTGTCTTCTTTTTACATCTGCAAGAAATCACAAATTCATTGGCCAAACAAGAAAATGCAGAGTACTGAATTAGTTCTTCAATAGAAAATAAAAGATGGAGAGAAATAAGTTTTTGTAGGTGATGGCAGATTTGATCTGGCACAGGTGTAGAGAACATGAAATCCCATTGTGTCTTTCATGTTTATTTTTTAAAAGATTTTCACATTATAGAATAAAATATAGCTTTGATTACCTACTTCAAGAGAATTCTCCCATGGGGCAGCTAAGTGGTGCAGTGGATAGGCCTTGGAGTCAGGGAAGACCTGAGTTCAAATTCAGCTTCAGATACTTGACACTTATTAGCTCTGTGACCCTGGGCAAGTCATTTAACCCTGATTGCCTAAGCAAAAATAAAAAAGAGGGAGAGAGAGGTCTCCCATACATACATTCAAATTATACAACACACAAAAACAGAGGGATGTCAAGGTCACATGATCAACAAGATGGAAGACAAGATACTTTTTCCCATCTTCACAAACTGTTCCTTTGTCTCAATGCCTCCAAACCAAAATCTGAGTAACCTTATTTTAGAGCAATGATAGACTGGATGACATTGTAGAAAAGTGGGAGTAAAAATGAAATAAAAAGGAAAGAATGGGTATGAGAATTTTTTTTAAAAAAGGTAGGACTTCAATTTGAAGATTACATTAATGGCCCAAGGGACTTCTTATAATCACCATAGTATGAGTTACAACAAGACTCCCCCTTCTGCCTGTATTATAGCCACTTAGATTTGGTCTAATGTTGTGGAAAACTGTTTCCTTGGCTCCTAAACTCTTCTTTCTTTGTCCAGCCCTTAGCTTCTGGGAAAGACTGTCACTTTGCATAGGATAAGCTCTTGGCCACAATAACACACTCAACTTCTCTTGACAAATGATGGATTCCAGGGAAAATAAATGACAAAGTTCCACAAAGAGTTTTGTGGATTATGGGACATTTCCTTAAGCTTACAGACTTGTTTTCATTAGCTTTGCTGCCTAATTTCTTTTAGGCCCATTCTGATTTCTTTTAAGCCCCCAGTAAAGTCTAGTCATTGTTTATTTCCATGGTGGGCATATTGCAGATCAAAATGTCCTCTTTAAGAGGAAAACACCTAATGTTTTCATTTTCACACAATTTGCCCTTTGGTTAGACATTAATGAATGATCCCGTCAGTTAGTGGAATTATTGACCATATAGTGTACTATATAGAATTCTCAACAAAGAACCTTTCCCACTTTCAGAGTTTAAAGGGTATTTCATTCCCTATCCCTAATGGTGCCATTTCAAGTTAATCTCTGTTGCCCTATGCCATTTTATAATGGATAAGTCATGCACTGATAATATTAAATTGCAAGTCATAAATCAGTTTTCCCTTGAAAAAGTATTTTCTTAGTCTTAAAAATATTAATATTTTATTTATTTATTTAATTTTTTAAATTTATTTAATTTATTTAATATTTTTCTGTTTTAATAAACAGAAAAAAAATCTATTTTAAAGAAAAAGATTGTGATTAGAATTTTGCTTGGAAAAAATGATGAATCAAAATGCTTAATCATATTAGTCTCCTAATTCAATATTTTCTGAGCTCTCTGTACTTAGGATGATATTCTACATTACATCATTTAAGAAACATTTAAAATAGTAGATACAGAGTGAGGCTATGAGAGTAAATCTATAAGCATAATAGAGGATTTTAATAAAAATGATAATAGCACCTGATTGTATCAATATTATATCAATAGATATATCAATATATCAAAAAGACTTTTGACAAAATCCAACACTATTCCTATTAAAACATTAGAAAGCATAGGAATAAGTAAGCTTTTCTTTAATATATTAAGTAATACCCACTAAAAACTGAGTAAACATATGTAATAGAGAAAAATTAAAGACCTTTTCATTAAGATTGGGGGCAGAGCAAGGATGTCTTATTTTTACTACTATCTATCATAGTGCTAGAAATACTAGCTATAGCAGTAAGATAAGAAAAGGAAATCAAGGGAATAAATATAGGCAGAGTATGACAAAAGTGAGAATATCCATTATTGAAGATCATCTAAAAAGCAATGGAAAGGCCCATGGTGAGGTAAGAAGGATCCAGGAGGTTAATAATGATGATTTGTCTGGAAATAACTTATATGAGTAGAAAAGGAAATGAGCTGTTCATGTAATGAGAACAAGGGTAACAGACGGACAGTCTGAATGGGGTGTTAATATCCTGAAAGGACTGGAAGTCCTCCAATGTAATGGCTGTTATCTTCTATGAAGTACTTATAAGGGCAGGAACAAGAACTATACAGAATAGGAGATATGAATAAGTTGCAATTTGCAGTGTTGCAGGAAGTATCCATACTGATAAAGTTTCAGATCCATCAAAACATTGAATAATAATAATAACAATAATAATATTTATATTTAAAATTTGTTAAACTCTTTACATATGTTATCATTTGATTCTTGCAACCCTGTGAAGTACTATAATTATCCTCATTTTACCGATGAGTAACTAATGGCACAAAGAGGTTAGGTGGACTTACTCAGGATTACACAGATAAGTATCTGAGATGGGATTTGAATTCGTACCTTCCTGACTTCAAGACCACTTAGCTACCTCATTATTGGGGTACTATGCTAAAGTCAACAGAGTAGTGAGGAATAGAATGAGGGTTCCAGAAATCTCAGGTTCCTGCTTCTGATACTAGACTTTTTTTTTTAACAGGGCTTAAGCAGAAATTCCCTTTTTATAAGCAACCTCTATTTCCTCTTTGGGTGAGTAATTAATAGTAATTAGATATCAAACCACAGCACAAGTGACAACTGAATAGAACAATATGTCACTGCTAAGTTAGCCTTGTACCATTACCTATATTACATTTAAATTCAACTAGTTTGCTTAATGCAGTCATAAAATTGGTTTCCTTGGATTGTAACAACCTTATCATAAAGAATTGATTTTGATGAAAGATTTGATGGTGCTTTGGAGAACAATAAACTTCATTTATAGAAGCATAGGATCATTAATTTTGGAAGGAAGCTTATAAGATCATTGATTGAGTCCAGTGCTCTCATTATAGATGGAGAAACTGAGGGATTCAGAGGTTAAACAAGTTGCACAGGGGCACATAGATAAGTGTCTGAGACAGCATCTGAACTCAGTCTTCCTGACTCCAAATCCATTAAGACTCCCTCCTGGTCTTCTGGGAGCCAAGATGGCAGAGTAAGTAGTAAATTGCTGTAGCTCCCCTATATTCACCTTCATAAAACCACAAAATGGTGCCCCAGAGCAAATCCTGGAACAGCAGAGCCAGCAGAAAGATGAGGTGGAACAGTTTTTTATCCTGGGAGACTTGTAGGATTGTCAAGAAAGGTCAGTTTCACTCAGGTAAATGGGGAGAATATTCCAGGACAGGAAGCATCCCAGAAAACCAAGAACAAACCCCACCTCAGAAAACCAGAAGGAGATCATGAGTTCTAGTGTGGTAGAGCAAGCAAAAGCCAACCCCAGGACCTTCCACATGCTTTAGCATTGCCAGGGGAACTGGCAGGCTCCAGCTCTGAGAACTACCATGTGCTTCAGCACAGCCCAAGTTGGGCAGGTATCTTTCAGTGGCCAAATCTCAGCATGCTTCGGCACATCTCAGGGCAGTTGGGCATCTTCTGGCTACTGGACCTCCAGGTGCTTCAGCATTGTCCAGGGCAAAGAGGCATTTTCCAGGACCAGACCTCCAGGTGCTTCAGTGTAGTCTGGGGAAACACAGAAAAACCCCACCTGGCTTCAGCACACACCAGATACCACCACTAGGACTCCAGCTCAGCACCAGGTGAGCTGCCTAACCCCCAGGACCCCCAGCTGCCAGCAACTGAGGCTCCAGCACACAAAGCCAGTGACCAGGCCCTTGGCTTACAGCACAAGAAACTTGGGACAATGCCCACCATAGTCCAGCAGAAGAGCTCAACTTTAAAAGCCACAAATAGGTGGAAAAAGATAAGCAAGAAGCAAAACAAACATTGACCATAGACAATTACTATGGTGACAGTTAAGATCAAAAACCTCACAATCTAATTCAGAAAGGCAGAAATATTAAATGCATCCTTTTCAGATCATGATACAATAAAAATTACATGTAATAAAGGGCCATGGAGAGAGAGACTAAAACTAAATTAAACTAAACTATCTAATCCTAAAGAATGAGTAGATCAAACAACAAATCACAATCAATAACTTCATCTAAGACAATGACAATAATGAGAAAACATATAAAAACTTATGGAAGGCAGCCAAAGCAGTTTGTAGGGGAAATTTGATGTCTCTAAATGCTTACATGAGTCAAATAAAGAGGAGATCAACGATCTGGGCAAGAAACTAAAAAAAGCTAGAAAAAGAACAAATTAAAAACCCACAATTAAATACCAAATTAGAAGTACTGAAAATCAAAGGAGAGATTAATAAAATTGAAATTAAGAAAACTATTGAACTAATAAATAAAACTAAGGTCTGGTTTTACAAGAAAAAAACCCCAATAAAATAGGTAAACCTTTGGTTAATATAGTTAAAAAAAGAAAGAAGTAAACCAAATTACCAGTATCAGAAAGGAAAAGGGTGAATTCACCACCAATGAAGAGGAAATTAAAACAATAATTAGGAGCTATTTTGTCCAACTGATTGCATTAAATCTGGCAACCTAAGTGAAATGGAGGAATATTTACAAAAATATAAATTGCCAGATTAACAAAAAGGGAAATAAAATACTTAAATATCCCCATTTCAGAAAAAGAAATTGAACAAGCTATTAATGAACTCCCTAAGAAAAAATCTTCAGGTCCAGATGGATTTACAAGTGAATTCTACCAAATATTTAAAGAACCATTAATTCCAGTACCACACAAACAATTTTGAAAAATTGGTGAAGGAGTCCTACCAAATTCTTTTTATGATACAAATATGGTGCTGATACCTAAATCAGGAAGATCCAAAACAGAAAAAGAAAAATATAGATCATTTAAAATAAAATATTAGCAAAGATATTACAGCAATTTATCACCAGAATAACACACTATGACCAAGTGGGATTTATACCAGGAATGCAGAGCTGGTTCAATATTAGGAAAACTATCAACATAATTGATCATATCAATAATGAACTTAACAGAAATCATATGATTATTTCAATAGGTGCAGAAAATGCTTTTTGACAAAATGAAGCACCCATTTCTATTAAAACACTAGAGACCTATAGAATCTGAATGCACATCAAAGCATACTATTTTCCCTCTCTTTTTTTCCCCTTTCTTGTGCTTTTCCCCTTTTGTTCTAATTCTCCTTTCACAACATGATTAATGTGGAAATATGTTTAATGTGATTATACATGTATAGTGTGTATCAATTGCTTCCTGTCTTGGAGAGGGGGAGAGGAGGGAGGGAAGCAGAAAAAAAATTTGGAATTCAAAATCTTATAAAAGTGAATTTTAAAAACTATCTTTACATGTAATTGGAAAAAAATACTATTAAGTGGGGAAAAAAAGAAAAGAAAAAAGACTCCCTCTCTCTTTCTTCTTTTACAACACATGTTCACTGCTTTTATTTTCCATTTGCTCTCTAAATTAAGATTCCTTCCAGGACCACTTCATTTAAAGTATCCTCCTTCATTTGCCATCCCCCCCACATATTTAAGCCACACCTAAGTTATCCATAAACAAGGAGCCTAAGCACACTCAGCCAATCCCCATACGCTATTTCAATCTTCAACAATTCAGTCACATTGAATGCAACACTAACTCTCCATCTAGTCTTTATATACTGAACTCCACTTTCTGCACATGCCATTGTAAACATACAGCAGCTGCTCATATGCTGATGTGCCTCGCCTCCCACGCCATAAAAATTGGACAGCCTCAAAGGAATGTTTTGGCACTGCATAGCCAACAGATCTGGGGATATAAGGAACAGCTGTGGGCAGCTGTGGGCAGCTGCATGATCCCAACTGCCTTCCTTGCATTCCCACTACAGGGATCCTATTCTGAACAATGATCTAGTGCATTTCATAGATTACCTTGTTGGATTTTAAATGCACTGTATAAATCCAATGTTTTTGGTCATATTTAACCTCTAGGCCCATTATTATCCTTCTGCTTCATTAATCAATCAGTCAACATTTATTAAGTGCCTACTATGTCCTAGGCAATGCGCTAAGCACAGAGGATATAAAAAGAGGCAAAAGTCCCACAAGGAACTCGTAATCTAATGTACGTATACATGCCTGGAAAGTCTTTTCTCAATGACACATCATAGCATATAAAGTTAGTACATATAATCAAGGGAAGTCATGGCTAGAAGTTGCCATCTGCAAGTCACTTTTCTAGTTCAACTGGTCAATTTCCTCTTTTGATTCATACAAATAATCTTGCATTTTCTAGATTACATAGTTGATCTGGAACGTTCACTCTTCTCACTTCTGCTCTTTGGAACCTCTACGTTGTTTCAAGACTTAGCTCAAGAACCACCTCCTAGACTGACATTTCTTCATACCCCAGATGCTAGTGCCACTGCCCCATTACTTTTTATTTACTTTTAATGTGCTATATGTATTACAAGTAATGTGTTATAAGTGCCTTGAGAGGACCATTTTTTATTTTGTCTATTTATCCTTACTGCCTAGTACAATATCTAGCACATGGTAGGAATTTAGTAAGTGCTCAATTTATTGATTACCATAGAGTAATCCTTAAAACATTGCCCTTTGGTTTTTAAAAATAAAAATGGCCTCTTCCTGTGTGAGAAATTTTTATTTAAAAATTTCATTTTATTAGTACTCTTTCATTGATATACCAACTGGCATAGCCAGGCAATCTGTTATATGGAACAATTCAAAATCAGAAGGGTTTTGCATGTTCTCTTCTTCCCCCAGCAGCACTAGAGAAATGAGACTTGTCTCTGTTGCCCGAACATTTTCTTTGCTCAGAAAGGGCTGCAGCTAATTGGTGAGGCAGGGAATATTTTCTATTTCAAAATGTAGTGTGTGCTCACTTTCACTTTTTCTATATTTTGGCATATCAGTGAGATTGGAAGTGAAGAGAAAGGAAATGCTTTGAATGTTTTTTCTTTTGTTTTTTTCTCAAATGTTAGTATTCCATTAGCCACCCTGCATGCCTGGGTGGCTATCACACCCTTAAAACCAACCAGCCAATCAATATTTAGTGAACACCAAATGTATACCCAATATATCACATATGCTGTTTCCTAATATCTTTTCAATTGACATCTCATACTTTCAATTCAACATGAAATAATTAAATTCTTACCATATGCAAAGCATGAGAAACAGCATGGAGTAGTGGATACAGGGCTGGCCTAAAAGTGGGCAAGATCAAGATTCAAGTCCTGCTGCTGACACATATTGGCAGTGTGACCTAGGCAAGTGTCCCTTAACCTTGGAGCTCTAGGCAACTTACTGAGACTAAAAGTTGCTGGAAAGATGTCCACCTGAATTGGTAGAGAGAGATTCCCTAGCCAGGAGCTCTTTATATTCATAAATTTGGATGTCTAGTCCCAATTGTTGTGTGAAAAGCACTGAGGATAGAATGATATAAACCAGAGTCTCTCTCCTCAAGGAACTTATATTCCAAATTACCTTCTAGCTATTTAGAGGTGAAGAGTGATAATATCCACTCTCTTCCTTCCTGCCAACTCAGCAGTGGTCAATATAATGTCTTCACCAGACCCTATGACTAGACTGAGAATCTAGGCTTTTCTTGCTAACAAGGGAGAACTA